CTGAAAAGCGCATTTGGTGTAGTCAGAATTTCGAAAAAAATCGGAACCACAGACAACTGAATCGTCTGCCCACATCTTTGAAGTCGGACGATGTCCGACTTCAAAGAAGAAAATTTGAACGGAACCATAGATACATTGGAAATTATAATATTATTTACTTACGAATCAATTGCAAAATATAAAATATTTTTAAAGTTAGATTTCAAAATTCCTGTTTCAAAGGGAATTTTTGGGGAATAGAATTGCACAAAAATGAAGCGCATTAGAAGAATATTATCTTTCATATGTTTCCATGGAGACAAGAATTAATCAGAACTAAGCTGAAAGCATTAAACGGACATGACAGGCTAAAGCTGAATGTTTGTGCTTTATGTCCAAAACCTAAAATACTTTTAAATGTATGTATATATATGTAATATACAGTAAATGTATATATACAGGGTGTATTAGTACAGCGTTGACAAACTTCCAGGAGAGATAGAGTACACATAGATGATGGGAAATCACATAGGAATGCATGGTCGGACACAATTTCCTGGCCCGAAATGTCCATGTCTAGAGCGAAAATGTCCATGCCTATAGGGAAAATTCTTTATAAATATTTAAAATGAGAGGCAATTTAAAAATTTTTTCCTTATACATTGTAGGGTTTCCCTTAGTTCAATTAACCAAGTATTCAAATTCTTGTTGTCTTTCCTGAACTCCTCAACTTCCCCTCGCATTTCCTCGCCAGGATGCTAATTTAAAGTAAAGTGAGTATTTAAATGGGTGAATCATGGAGTATATTCAGAACGTGTTGCTGTTGACCAAAGCAGGTTTTGTTTCTGACCTTGCTGTTACACGATGCTGTTGATACGCTTTTTGGCCATTTGAATAATTATCACGCTGGGTTGGTTGTCGAGTTAACCTAATTAGCCGTGTCTTGTGTGCTAGATCAGCTCTACTCTTTTCGACTTGAATTTATTGTATTACAATTTTCAAGTTCGACCTCAAGAGATCGGTGTTATTTGTAAAGCACTGAGTATGTGCCTTTTCCACCCTTCTTCTGTGCTGCTATTATTTCACGCCTGTGCGAGAAGTCGTCAGTTTCATTAGTAATATCTACTAGAGTTATGTGGCCAAAGAGAAGAAACAGCATTTACATTATTCTTTATTTTTGGGAACAAAAAATGAAATTTCGAAAAATTTCGATATCTTGAGGACGATTTGGAAATTTTGTAGAGACATTTGGTACTGTTGGAAGCAAGCAAGATTAAAAATTAGCAACGCCTTTTCCGTGAATCGAACCGCGGACCTCTCGATTAAACGCTGAGCATGCAGACCACTACACCACGAAGGCTCGCAAAGAAGGCGGGAGAAATACCTTATATACCCTGGTGTTTTAAAACACCCAATCGCCAAATCCTGGATGAGAAGAATCATCAACCAACACATTTTATTTCGGGCGCCAGTTGTAGGGACATTAGGTACTTTTGGAAGCAGGCACGATGAAAGATTAGCAACGCCTTCGTCGAGAATCGAACCGCGGACCTCTCAATTACGCACTGAGCGTGCAGACCACTACACCACAAAGGGTCGCTAAGAAGGCGGGAGAAATATCTTATAATTTGAGGGTCTCTTGTCCCCTTAAACTCTGTACGAGTCCATTTTCGAATTACTTTCCTTACCAATCGAAATAAACCCCTGTGGCGCGGAAGCCCCACGTTTGGAAACATTGATGTATATAATATATATATATATATATATATATATATAAAACATACAATTAATATTCTATATATATATTATATATAGTATGTATATATATATATATATATGTATCGATATATAGATAGATAGATATAGATATATATTTAATAATTAGTTTGATCTTCATTATGCCGATAAATGGCCCGCACATATTAGGCTGTCCACCCTCATTCTATCTCTTGATCATCATAGACTCTGTCTAAAGTTTCATTGACCCCCAGATAGTTGATACCGATCCCGCCGAGAACGCCTGGCTTAGACAAGGGTTTAAATTAAGTCAAACTAAATTTAAATTTATAAATAGTTAGCTACATACGTCAGTAACTTTAATATAACGGCATTAGTAATTAAAATTTTCTCGTTTCTGCTTCGGTATTTCCTATAATAGAGTCAGACACCCTCGAACAGGAGTCAGTGATTGAAATCGATCATCGCCGTAACCGATAACCATGCTCTCTAAGGCAACATCACTCAAAAGATGAAAATTGTACGTAACCGTAGACCTTCTTAAAAAATTCATCGGAAATTATTATTTTTATGCTTTTTGAAAAGTGCTAGTTCTGTTACATGGAATAATGAATTTTTATCAAAATTTTTCATACTACATTGAATTCTAAAATATTTTAATTTTTGAATAAAAAACAGTGACTTCCACTTTAACAACCTGTGTTTATTTAAAATGATAGATGCAAAAGTAACAAATTCATGCATTTAAGTGGAGTCGGAACCCCCTACACCGACGATGTTAAATTGACCATTTTCCACGCATCGTTTCTCAAAATTTGCTGTAGATACACGTTTGAAATTTTTTGTATTATTAAAGTACACCTTTCTAATTATACTGAAATGAGCTTTTGAAACATTCTGAGTTTTAGAATAGTCTATATAATATTGTATTAGGCATAGTAAAATGTAGCACTTTTTTCACACAAATTTTAAAACATTTTTTCTTCGTTTATCGTAAATTTCTCATTTCAGTAAACATTAGGAAACATAATAAATACGCTCCAAAAAATTGCAATACCTTTGATCAGTATTTCCTGAGAAAAGATACATAGAATATAAAAAGTCACATTTGGAGAAAAACGCATTTTTACGTAAAAATACTCATTTATAAAACATTCAATGATAAACTAAAAGTAGATTTTTTACAGTTTTAATTTTCATAGAGATTAAAGTATGGTATTTTTAGAAAGATAAAAGTGTAGAATGAATTTGAAAATGCAGTAATCCGAAATCATAATTTTTTAAGATATTTGGTTTACAACAAGCCTTTTCATTGCACATATAGAAACGAAAACAAACTCTTAAAGCAATTGTGGCAAGATGCATAAACTTAAAATTCAATAAAATATTTTGTTACTAATTTTTATGCATCTTATGATTCCTGAATTTCGAAATGCTCTGTGAAATGCTCTGGTCTGTCATACCATGACAAATAAGATTTACAAATAAGATTACACAGGAACTTGTGTCCGAAAATGCAAACGGTGACCTTTAGACGACAATGTTCGCAGGCGTAGAGGGGGAAGCAAAAAAGAATGTCAACAGAGGTGTTAGTATTATTTTTATAAAAGAACATGGTAAATTGCAGAAGATGTTCCAAATTCCTTCCATTCGCCATTCATGAGTCGACTTTGTAGAGCATGCAAAGCTCTACAAATGCAAAGCTCTACAAATGCAAAGCTCTTACTCATGCAAAGCTCTTTGTAGAGCATGCAAGCTTTTGTAAGCTCTACAAATGCAAACTCTTACTCATGCAAAGCTCTTTGTAGAGCATGCAAGATTTTGTAGAGCATGCAATGCACTACAAAGTCGACTAATGAATTCAGGGACCCATTCAAACTTGGCAGGTGTTTCAAGGAGACGGTGCGCACTTCCACGATCCTGGTGACGAGATTCATGTCCGATCTTACAATCGTCTCTTATACCATAGACTTCATGCAGCCGCAGGTAGAAATCCGGGGTCGGTGGCTTGCGGTGGACATGGAGTGGTCCGCGGCGCCATGCAAGTATTGCACGTCGGCAAGTTCTTAAAAAACAATTCGTCCTTCGCCTGCCACGTCCTCGCTTGAAATGATTCCGCTTTTCCCTCTCTCATAAACCGGCTAACTTTAGTTGTCGCCGTTCGCATTTTCGGACACAAGTTCTTATGTAAATATTGTTGTTCATTGCATGACAAGCCAGTATGCTAAGCTTGGCAACGACCTTTTGAGACACGCTGTATATTGTGCATTATAAGCTACTGTCTCTGATAGTTACCAGGAACTCTAGAAAACAGTTTCATCCATTAATTTTCCTGATGTAGTTACTTCCTTCTAATCAATCCAATTCTACTGTTAAATTAAGTTTTAGATTAATACTTAAATATTAAGAAAATATTTATGTTTGAAAAATTATTTTCCATAAAAAATTTTCCATTTTGTTTCATATACCCATTTTTCAACTATTAGCAAATATTAATTACTGAATAATTATTGCACTAAATCACAACTATATTTGATTGTGATTTTGTACATGTGACACATGTGATTTTATCCAATCATGTATTTTAATTTCTAAAAATTTTTTAACATTTCATTTAATATTAATTTTATAGTTGACACAAAAGCTAACTAGTAGTGTTTTTATAATGACAGGAAGGAAATTTTAAGAGATTTTATTTCATACAGACTTTTACTTTAAAGGGAAAAAAAAAACATTCTAAAATTTAAGGAGTGAAAACACAAACACAGTTCCAAAATCAAGATTATACTTCTTAATTTTGGAACTGATACTAATAAAAATAGTAATAATAATAATGGGAAAAGAAAGCAGAACATCATTTAAATAAATCAGTAAAATTTCATTTTTAAAGCATCAAAAACCTATTAAAAATTAAAATTTGAATTTTATCCTCTTAAACACTGATATAATTAAAAAATTAGATGATATGTCACACAGAAACTCTTAAAGGCCTTAAAAATCCCACAAACAGAATGCAACCCCAAATTATACAGAATTGCTCTTAAAAAATATTCTCAGTACATGGATGAATAAGAAACACAAAGTACAATTATTCTATCTTCGCCAGAACCCGTAACAAATGATAAATTTTCGTTCTTCTCTTTCTAGAGAACAGAAAAAAAATTCTCAAAATAGATGACCCAAGTAAGCAAGTAGTAATTCTGAAGTATTTGGAAAAAAGAAAAGAGAGAGAGTGGAGGAAAGTGTTCCCCGATCATTTGTCAGTGGTCGTAGTGAGCACTCACCGTGAAGGTCTAGCACGTGCAGATTATCAATCACAGGTTTGAATGTGTCGTAGCGCAGCTCCCTCAGCTCGTTCGAATGAAGATACAACCATTCCGCAGACTCCAGCACATCCAAAGCTCCTTCTTCTATCGTCTGGATGCTATAATTAAAGAACAAATGGGCAAGGTGTGACTTCAGCTCTTTTCAAAACTTCTAGCAACTGAATGAATTTTTTATTTGGGAAGTGCTTTTGTTAATAATTAACACAGGATGAAGCTAAAATCAGTGCGTGTTTTCGTTAGTTACAAATACGTTTGAGCCAAGAGATCATATATATACATATATATATATATATATATATATATATGTTTTTTGTTTTTTCGTGTAGTTAGTACGTGAAATCGCTGATATATGCACGTGAAAAAAAGAATTTTAAGTTTTAAAGTAATGTAACAAAGAAAAAGTTTTAATGTTCTTTTGATGGTTCTAAACAATCATTAATCTTTGGTTGTTTCTTGCATTATGTTTCCAGAGTTACATTTTAATAAAGTATTTATTACAATGTTTCGAAATTGCAAAGATGATTAATATTTAATATTTATTTGGACGTTGAAAATCGTATTTATTTGAGATAAGAAAAAACTGATGAAGCTCGAGAACAAAATTTGTTTCAGAAATATATAATTTATGTAAAGAAATTTTTTAAAACAATCTCATGACTTCATACATCTGCAACGAAAATATCCAAATGAATAGCTTTATTTTGTTTGTTAATTACTACATAAGAATTACATAATACCTATTAAACTAAGCAAAAAGTTGAATGCTGGGGTTAAATATGAACTCACTTGTAGATCTGTATAGTTTACGTAAAGTAATGAAAATCCAGTATTGGTATAATAATAGTAATTACTATGCTTGCTCAGCCTCTAGGCACTAGACGTACTTATCTTTTACCTTCACATTCGGTGGAAGATGATCTTGCATAAAAAACTCCTGAGTGTTAGTACATCTCACTGGCCCCAATGACTCGTTTGGCTCCAATACACAGAGTAACAGAGAGTTTTAATTGAACTTTCTCTAAGACTCCACATTGCTAGCCGGGCATTCCAGGATTACCACTCCCGGAGGTATAGAGACCACAAAGCTCGTGGAGTATATTAACATATTTTAAATTTGGTCATCGTGCTATCCACTCGGATTACTTTGAGCAATAAACTTCGTTGTTTAAAGCAAAATAGAAACTCAATTAATATAAGTATCGCGTGGAGCCAAAAATTTGACATTTTAAAGTAATTTAAGTTGTTATCTCATTATTATTTTTAACTTTAAATATTTTTTCTACGCCTAAGTTTAATTTTTTTCACAATTTATTTTGTATATGTTTACTTATGCAAAGTTCTGTACCATTCCAACAGCCTTCATTCATTTTGGTTTTCATATTTTTACGAGATGTATATTTATTTTAATTGGCCACACGGATAATACCTTAAAATACTACAACTATACAAGAACATGAATACGAATATTCATTTTGCATGTATTTACACCTTTAAATCTTGGATTTAACTATACTTTTCGTAGTTTAAAAACATGATACCTCTCGCTAGTGTATAACTCACTTCTAGTATTTCAGTGACCAGAAACAAATGGTTCACTAGTTAATTATATATATATATGTGTATGAGTATATATATATATATATATAATACATACATAGAGAAACATAATATGAGGCTAAAAATTAAAAACAAAATATTTATACCCGGAATATTATTTCTGGTGCCTTTGAGATTCGAATTGTGGGTTTTATATGAATTTTAATGTCTTAAATAGAAATTTAATTGATTCTTTTTTCGGTTTTGATCTCAAATGAACCAGGAGAACGAAACATGTTTTTGAAACATAGCAATTTAATTTTATGAAGTTTTAATTCATTTTCCCTTGATGAATTCTGAATTGTAGTTTCAGTAAATAAAGATTAAATTTTATATTTTTATTATCTTGCATATTTTTTCTCTTTCTCCTTATTATTTTTCGAGTTGTAGTACTATGAATTCTTATTTTAATGTTAATTTGTTGTTAGATATTAGTTAATCTTCTTATACACGATGCAATTATTAATATTGTGGAGAATTGCCTTGCTTTGACTCCAATTTACTTTTAACTTTAGATTCTTTAAGTATATATAATATATAAATATAATATAATATAAACATATATAAGAAGGGTATATTTCAAGCGGACGTATATATATATATACTAAGAGGGTATATTCAAAGCGGACTATATATTATCATATCTAAGAAGGTATATTCAAAGCGGAGTATATATATCTAATATATATCTCCGCTTTGGAAATATACCCTTCTTAGTATATGTTTTCTGTTCAGAACGCGAAACTTTGTGTTTGATGTGCGATATTGGTTTCGAAAGGACTTGAGTTTGATGAATCAAACAAATGATTTGATGAGTCAGACAAATGAACGATTGCCCGTAAAATCTATAAGTAAAGGATCTTTCCACTCAAGAAGAAAAGTAGTGTGAAACATTTTTTGGTAACTTGCGTTAATGACGAAAGTGTTCAAATCATTATTGAATTATTGAATGCAAAATGTTTTTGCTGACATGGAAGGTAGGACTAAAACTTTGTACCTATCTGCTTTAGTAACTGCCTTAAATTATTGTCTTTATCAATCTTCAAATATCCTATAATGATGTGCTGGTGAAACGGTACATCATTATAGGATACAAAATTACTGTATCCTGGATGAAAACAAACCACAAAATTACTGTACTCTGGATGTTTGCACTCTCAGGTATCTGGAGAGTCGATTTCATAGTGTTTGGTGATCATATTTCCAAGTGTCTTACTGAATTTAAAATTAGGTATTGCATTGAAGTGCCTAACAGGTGATAGATTTTGATGCGTGCTAAAAAATATGATTAACTTTTATTTATTATAGAATGGGTGTTTGGAGTGAATTATGCAAAAGATCTTTATTGTGGAAAAATTTGCTAGTGTTTACGTTTTAACTGCACATGTTAATTATTTTTAACTCTAAATGTTGAAGTAATTTTATGGGGGATAAATATAATTTAGAAACATTAGCAATGAGTTTTAGGAAAGTTGACGAGAGGAATCAAGGAGAAACGTAAATTGTTAGGATCACAATGAATATGAAAAGAAAATAAGATTGCTGAAAGTTTTGAAAATAGTATGCATATCATGGGCTTACCATATGCCGAGTAAGATAGCGTCTACGATTGCGAAAATCAAAAAAGCTATAACCAACTTATCTTTGTTTATTACAATATAATGCTGCTATATTATATTTTAAAGACATTTTATTATGTCTTATGAAATTTTAAGCACTTATTTAATAACATCGTACGGAGATTTTCCGCACGACATTTTACATTAAACCGTTATGCGGGTTTTAAAATTTTTGTTAATACAAATTACAATTTCCATTTGAGCATTTTTAAAATCCTACAGAATAAAACACAGTAAAAATTTATCTAAAATGTGAGTAAATGGATGAAATGTTTCGAAATAATTCAAAATTTTATCTAATCAATTTAACTAAATATTAAGCTTTTATAATTTTGAAATTCTTCTAATTGCAGTTATAATTACATAACAGAAACTGTGTATGCAGGCATGGAATTTCTGTGCAGAATTTTGAGGAAGTACTATCCTAGTTTATCCTATTATGCTTTATCTTAAAAAATGCTTTATCTTACTGAAAGAAATGATTATAACATTAACATGTAATTATATTAAATAAACTTATGCTAAAGAATATTCAATCAATGTAAGAAATTGTTCTCACCTATTTTTTTGAAGAAAAATGAATTTGAGTGTTTTGCCATAGGTGTCAAACGATATAATCTCAACTCTAGAGATTAAATTACATCGAAGATCGAGTTGTCGTAATCTACTGAAATTTCGAAGTGCCAAATAAGGTATGGAAGATAACTGGTTACCGCCTAATTTCAACCACTCCAAAGAATCTGAAATGGAAAAGAAAATCATGTATATCCTTATTTTTCTTACTTCACTATCGAATTAAATTATGATTGAAAAAATAAACATATATATGCAAGCATAAAATAAAGGCAAGAACTTTAAACTTGAAATCCACAAAACAGAACTTCTAAAAGCAATATCTCATTTTTAAAGATTAATTACTTGTTTTCTGTAGGTTATACACCTTTGTAACACACACACATGTCAAGCGTCTGAAATTGTTCATTAAAAGTGCATGTCGCAATCATAGTCAGCCACAATGATTACGAAGTAAATAATATAAGTAAACTCGGATATATATATTCCAGTTTCTATCATCGGCGACATAATATACTTACTTAAGAAGAATCTCAAGAATTAACATACGTAAGAAGATTTGCAAGAGTCTCATCATCTGTTAAATGGTAGAGAAAGAAATTTTACGTTCCAAAATTGAAAATAATATTTCATGTATTTAGTTTACTCATGGATAATGTTTTATGACAAATGATTCATACCGGAAATATAATAAAAATCAAATCTCTGAAACATTTAAAAATGCGACTCATTCAGAAAACAAAAAAGAGTCTGAAAGATTTCAGATTTGCTTTAGCACAAACGTTTTTTGTTTTTTTTTTTTTTTTTTTTTTTTTTTTTCATTTACAGATCATGACATTCGAGAGTATTTTGGGCTAACGTGAAATTGTGCTAAAAGTATTTAAAAACAGCATATCTTTAAAATTTCCGAGACAGTCTCGCGTGCTGTAGGGAATAAAAGTGCTTTATCCTCTACCATGTTGCCACTGCTCACTTTGAAACTCTAGAGATTTTTAACCAAAAATTCGTTAAAGCTTTACAAAATATGACATAGACAATGAACATCATTCTGGCTTCCAGGTAGCCATGTTAGAGTGGAGGACTATGTTATTCAAAATTTGATGACTCTAAGTACACTTTTTTCCCAATGCGAGAATCATGCATACGTTCATGCAGAGTTTTCAATAATTAGTTTCTTTAAATATAATACAGAACGATAATATTTGGTGGAAACAATTTGAGAAGAGATTCAGGTGTTTTAAGCAATTCAACGCAAATGCTGTTTCCAGACTAACTGGGTTAAAGCCCATTTGGGTTACAAAAACTAATACTTGTAGGATGATTGCTTTCCTGAATACAATGATTTCTAAAGCATTCAGGTACTAATATTTTAATACATATGTAAGTTTCTTTTGAGAGAAGCGAAGGAGAAATCTTTCAAAACAATTCAGTGTTATAAGATTTAGCCACATTACTATTTTGATTTAAAATAACAGAAGTTACTTTAAGAACTCTTTTAAAAGAGCTCAGTTCATTTGTGCAGCCATTTTTAATCCAGAATCATACTATTGAGGAACAAAATGTAATTTGAATGATACGTATTTGCAAATATTGGAATTTAAAAATACTTTTATTTAACTCGTAGAGACATTAGAATTTTTTGAAACCAGAGAGATGTAAAATTAACAAAGCCTTCGCCGGGAATCGAACCACGGACCTCTGGAATACCGGAAGTGTGGAGAACCACTACACCATGAAGGCACGGAAAGAAGGCAGGAGAAATACCTTATATACTCCCCTTTTAAAGGGCGACTGGGGTTTTTAGGGGACCAATCGCCAGATCCTGGGTGTGGAGAGTCATCATCCACAACCCTTTTAGTTTGGGCGCCACTGTAGAGACATTAGTTTTTTTTTTTTTTTTTTTTTTGAAGCCAGAGAGATGTAAAATTATCAAGACCTTGGCTGGAAATCCAACCATGGACCTCTGGAATACCGGCCCAGTGTGCAGAACCACTACAACACGAAGAAACGCCAAGAAGGTGGGAGAAATTCTTAAATTGAATAACCTAACCTAACCTAACCAGTGTTCAGTGACTTTACCGCTCGGCCGCTGGTGGGCCTGCAATTTAATTGAATTTTATGCAGTTTAAGTGCCAAGAACATGATATTTAATAAATAAATGTAACACACAAATCATTAAAAAGTGTCCCTTTCGGCGAAATATAAAATCGAGAAGCTTTCGGATTTTAAAAATAAATGATATTCTCTTAGAGTATGTTTCTGTTCACATGTACTACAACAATAGTAAACTATCTATGGTAGTGGTATATCTTAAATATTTTATATAGTTACCTAAATTATGAATAAATAGGTATTTTTCCTTGAAACTGCCTTTATGTATATTCCTTATCTCGGTGAAATGAATAAAAATGGTTTTAGCAAAAAAATCAATTTTAAGACTTTCTCCACTTGAAAATGGAATATCAAGATAACTTACTTTAAATTCAGTTTTAGTTTATTTTCTCCTTCACAAGGAAACACATATGGTATTGCACCTTAGTATAATTGAAATACCTTAAATTAAAGGAACCTACAATTTATTATACAAGCGACTTCGGCTAGAGGCAGAAACGTTATGTAAATGTTTAGAAAGCAAAATCGATCGGAACTTCCGAACGAAAGAAAACTAGGTTAGACACGTCGAAGAAGCGAGGGTGTATTTACATACTATTCCATCAAAACAAGCTAGATTTCGAAGATAATATTTTCTATTTCTGAAGAGAATTTAAACGAAAGCAAAACGAAATCTTGCGGTTAAAGGTTGGGATACATCCATGCTACTGTTATGCTATAAACAGTTTTAAATCTAAATATTTGCTAGAGGTATTTTTGAATATATGCGGAAAATATCAACATGCAATTTATATATAGATATGTGTATATAATCTGCATGTTGATCTCTTCCGCATATATATGTATACATACATATACATATATATATATATATAAGATATATATTATAGATTGTATATAATACACAACATACCCGTAGGTTTTTAATTTTTTTAAACATTTTTTCCACCACCATGTTTGCTGTGCATACAAATACTTACGCGTGTCTTTTTAATGGTTTCATCCGGGTGAATATATAATAGATTTAAATGTTTTTATAAATGCAAAAAAAACATTTATAATATTATATTATAAAAAATATGCACATTTTCGATAACATATTTGATGACAGCGTTCCCCCCAACCACCAAACTCTCACTTTTATCTATACAACGGTTTATTTTTATGTTTTATTCTGAAATTAGTGCTGACGAATATTTCGCTTTCATGATCATAAATTTCGGAAAGTTAAAAACGCTTTTTATTGTATCGATAAACTAGAACTAAGAATAACACTTAAAGCTAGTCGGAAGATCTTGTTAATGAAACTTAGAATTTCATTGATACTGCAGCAATAAACATCATTTGATGAGTATGCGCTTATCGGTTTTCTTATTTTCGGCGACGTTCTTAAATCAGCTGTTTCCGTAAAATTTTTAATATTCCTTAACTACAAAGAGAAAACGTGCAAGTAGAAAAACGAAGTTTCATTTGTAAGAAATTATTTGGCGGAGAAGATATTTCTTGTATTGTAGAATGAAATAATCTCAGCGAATCTCTGTATATTTCTAAAGTTATGGATATGTTTTAAAGACAAAGGAGCCTGAGAGCTCATGAATTAAAACTCTGCTATCAACCGTCTTAGGCAAATTATATTCCTTGAGGCAAGAAATGACAAGGAATTTTGTGCTTTTTTGTCTCTTTTTAAAATCATGATTTTAGGATTCCACCGTTATTTATCTGCACAGGAAATCATATTAACACTTAGACTGTCATGAAGGTCACCGGTGGCCGGCGCTCGACTTGGCTACAGCGCCGTGGGGCCCACCGGTAACCTCGGACGTGACCAATAGTAGAAATACATAATTAGAGTAAATATCGATACAGATACATTTTTAAATAATACCACTATTACTATAGTGACAAGTATAATAAATAGCAAAAAATTGTCTACGGAGACCCACCTCATCACGAAAGAAGCATTAAAAGCAATTACCTAACTGAGCTTATCTTCTGCACATAATACTTTAACGTAATATACATTGCGTAATATAAAAAAATCATGTTGGCGCCATGGGCAAACCAAGTAAAATGCGTGTGGTAGTCAACATGTTAAAAATGTCAAAGAATTTTTCTTTGTATTGACAATCGCCTCTTGTGTTTGCAGCCCCTGAAATATGTAAAACTTTTAATCAATAAGAAAGCTAACTAAATTATATATATATATAGAGAGAGAGAGAGAGAGAGAACATATATAAGTTAATCATCTACAGAACTACAGATTTTAATTTTAACTTTGATTCCGTGCGTATATGTTAAATGAGATTTACTACAATTCAAACAGTAATTGAACGTTTTTTGAATAGCAGTAAAATATTACCATAGCAGTTCTTTCTTAAATGACGTTTATTCACATGTGATGAACAATTGCTTTTTAAAATTCTTAAGGCTGTTTATTTACAGTAATACGCATTTGCTTTGAAACAAAACTAAAGTAACCACAAGCTCATGTATGAGAATTCCACGCAAAATTCATTTGAAGGTGAGAAATTATTATTTCAACTAGTCAACAGTCCCCTGTTATCTAAGTATTTGAGGCTTGAATTAATTTAAAGGAATCAATTTATCACACTTACGAAAAATGTCTTCAATTTAAAGCTTTTAGCTATAGTAAACATATAAGATATACCACCCGTGGAATTCTAAACAATGGGAATGGTTTGTAGATACTTTAAACTTTTAAATTTAGACACTTACTTTCGAATTTAGACTCGTTACTTATACTTTTGAATTTAGACTCGTTACTTATACTTTTGAATTTAGACTCGTTACTTATACTTTTGAATTTAGACTGGTATTTATAAATGATTTATAATTCGTATTTATGAAAGACTCGTATTTATGAATTTTTAATGCGCAAAGAAATCATATAACTATTTTTAAAAACTTTCAGAGGTTATAGCTTATGTTATATTTTCTAAAATGTTTTAACTGAATAAGAAATGCAAAGAAAAAATGAAAGCAAAATGGATAAATATTTCAAGATTTCAAATTTGTCTTTTTTTGCGCAATGCAGAT